ACGGGGGGGTAGCTCGGGCGTGGGGTGCTGTCTGGGCTTGGGCAGCCCTCCGGGAGGTGGCTGTGGCGCTCAGCTTGGGGCCCAGCGCCTGCGGGACAGGGCCTCCCCCTCAGCTGTGCTGGCAGGGAGGTTGCTGAGGCTGGGCCTGGGGTGGAGGGGCGTGGAGACCCGGGGGTTGGGGAGTGCCGGGGGCAGGTTCCCAATCTGTTTGAACTTCCTTCTTTATCCTCTTCCGTGTGAGATGCGCCTAGCCTAGCTGTCTGGCTCCTGTCTTCCTGGTAGCTCCCTTGTGCTTTGTAGGTGTTACTTATTTTGTACATGCTTGCATCTCCCTGGCTGGTCAGTGTGGTTGGTGGTGGTTATTCCTGCTTTGCAGAAGGAGGGCCACTCCTGCTGACTCCCTCCCTCAGCCCTGCGGGTCATGCAGCTGAATCAGTGATGGTAAAAGTAGCCCTGAGTGGTGCTGCTTGAAGTGTTTCATCTTATGGATGTGTCTCTGTATCCCTAAACTTTTGGTTTGATCTGTTGTGACATAAAAGCAAGTGTTATTTAGTCTTGCAGAATGGATAGATGGGGGATTCAACAGGTGTCAGTTGTGCTTAACAGTACGTAGGTGGGTGGGAGAGAAAAAGGTCAGTAGTCTTCATCAGTTTTAATATTGGTTCAAGTCTTCTAATGTTTAGTTATCTGTTTTGCCTGTGACTCTTGCAGGAGTGGTATAGAAAGGTCTCCCTAATCAAACAAAACAAATAAGGTAATAGAGTGTAATTACTTACAGGAAAGAACTAACTCCAAAGTGATTACACTTACTGTAGCTCAGATGACTCTTTGATAGGTCATTTATGCTTTGAGAAGCTTATTAACTCTCTGAGGTTTTATCAGCTCAGCTAATAGAGATACACAGAAGCAAATGACTTTCTGAATAATAGTTATAGCCTGTTCCCTGTTTGGGTTAATTCTGGTCATACACAGACCTGATTAACAGGTCTCCAGCAAAAACAGCTGCTGGAATATAAGTTAAATTCATAACTGCCACAGCTACATGTTTCTGTATTGTATATGTGACAATTGATTCAAAGGAATTTTGTGGACTTTGTGGGGTAAGGTCTCATCTTCACACTATTATGTCCATTTTTACTGCCATCCTGAAGTAACTTCCCCTAGTAATGGGGACGTTTTCGCATCCCTTCTTATATTGTAAAACAAGGCTGAGGTACTGCAATATATGGATTTTTGAACTGCTTGTATCTACCCTGTTTTTCCAATAAAATGACCTAATTAAGCTGTTAGTCTGAAATGGAAATAATTTTGATATTGATCAGAAACTGGTTATGGGTTTTTTGTTAAAATAACATGTCTGCTTGCTTGTTGCCAGGCACTGGATGACCAAAACTAAACAATGTCTGTACCACGTGGAGCTGTTCATGCAAAATGGATAGTATGGAAAGTAATAGGAACCAAAATGCAGAAAACTGCTAAAGTGAGAGTGACAAGGCTTGTGCTAGATCCATACTTACTAAAGGTAAGAGCTGGTTAGCAGCTTGTCTTGCATGGTAACTTTTGTACTGTGTGGAGGAATGTTTTATTGATTTGACTCTTAGAATTTTTGATAGCTCTTTACAATGCAAACTCCTTAAGGAACTTACATGGTAATTTGGCTGTGGGGGTGACTGCGAAGAATGAAAAGCAGTGTTTGTGAGGACACTTCCTTACAAATTACCTGCTAAATTTATTTCTTTGAAGTGCTTTGTTAATGACCTTCATTTGATCTCAGTTGAGAAGGTAAGTTTTTGTTGTTTCACACTTAAATTTAATTTTTCATTTTACTTTGGAGTATGCTTTGTTTTGGAAACTTGACATAGTGGTCACTTTTACAATAAATTTTGTAGCAGTTTTTCTGTGTGCATAATTGTAGCATACTTGGTATTTGAATCTGTACTGTGGTGGGCTATACAAGCTTTGTATTTATCACTTCTTGTCAATGCATGTCAGACAGGGAGGTTAAAATTAGTATTTTCTCAATTTTTAGATAGGGAAACTGTGGTACATGTAGGTGGAATACCTTGCTTTTGGTGACCAGAAGGTTAAGGATTAGATCATGGGTCTTGTGGATCCCAGTCTGCTATTTTATAGAGTAGAACCACCTGTTAATTTCTTTAAAAAAATTTTGAACTCTGCTGTTCCAATAAGAATAAATACTTAAATTTTATCTGAAAGAAGATGAATTGAACAAGAAAGCTCTCAAATGACAAACTTCAAAATACTGATTTCAGGGCTGATGAACCTTAGACATATTAGAATGAATAAGAATTACTATCAGTTCTTGAAGCATGGACTGCGCAGGAAAGTCATTCAGCTTGGAAGAGCCAAGGCAGCTGTCTTGCTGAAGCAGTGTTGATATGAGGCATCCAAAGGAGAGGAAAGGCTAACACAGCAGAACTAGAGAGCAGAGAGGCCAATGAAAAGTGGTGATGCTGGGACAGGGAATCTCTGAAGTGAAGAGCTTGTTATTTTTACCTGTATCCACATGTTCACTATGAACAACTTTTTGTACTTGGCTTTTTCTTCCAAATCTCTTTTTCTACAGGCATGGTTGGAGCCTCTCCTCACCAGAAAGATAGTCGGAGGAGAATAGTGCTGTGTTTTCTTTGGAAAAACAGACTGTACAGTTGCATTTCTTTTCATGATCCAAACTGAATCTCATTAAAAAATACATAAGTCTGTACTCCTTAGTGAAACTTAGTTTGTTTTAACTATGTATTTGTCAATTGCTTCATTTTGAAATCTAATGTCAAGTTTTCCTTTTTTCCTTCTACAGTTCTTTAACAAACGAAAAACCTATTTTGCCCATGATCCGTTGCAGCAGTGTGTTGTTGGAGACATTGTTCTTCTGAAAGCTTTGCCTGAGCGAAGGAGCAAACATGTGAAACACGAACTGGCTGAAATTGTTTTCAAGGTTGGAAATGTCATAGATCCAATAACAGGAAAGCCCTGTGCAGGAACCAGATTCCTTGAAAATCTGTCGGACTCGGAAAATCTGACAGAGGCAGATACTACCTATCTAAGTGAAAAACTTCAAGAACTTAAAGTTTGTTCAACAGACAAATAGAGAAAATATTTAAGCAGAGGGCTTTTCAGCCTGTCTGTCAGGGATGTTTGGGGCCCTGCTGTTGTATGTTAAATGTTTCAGTGAAATCTGTAGTCAAAATAAATAGTAAACATAATTGCTTATAAGAACAGATGTTACAGATGGATAGCACCTCAAATCTTTAAATGAAAATACAGAGAAAATTAGTTTAGTGTTAACATTTCATTTTGTTGCAAGTAATTTTGCCCCAAGCTTTGACAGTTTCAAAAGCCAGCTGTTCACTTGGGATAACTTCGGTATTGGGAAAGACAAGAATATAACTGTATAATGCTTAAGTTTGGTGGGAGGGTCATTATATTTGGTTGTTCTGTATTTCAGTTTTTTGTGGTTTGTAGTATTACTTCAGATAATGCTATTAAACCTGTTGAAAGGAAGTGCAGCATTTTAAAACCAGCTACCTGCATGTGTCCTTATTTCCTCTTTACAGTTGCTTATACCACATTGCATTATCTTCTAACTTCCAAAATCTCTAACAAAACAAAGCCACTTGCCTTTATAATGCCAGTAAGGTGAGAGTAAAAAATCTGGGTAGCTTAGCATGGTTGTCTTTAACCTGTCCAAAGGAAGTATTTAGTTCTAAGAGATGGATCTCTTTGAACTGCTAGCAGGAAATAAAACCTGCTGAGAATAGAGCCAAAAAAAATAGAAGTAAAGATGGTTAGATTTGGTCTCATCAGAAAAGCTAATTAAAACAGCACATTTCAGGAGAAGTACAGGTACTGATTTGCTGCATGCTTTTGTATGAAACTAGAAGGCCATAGCAGTTAATGATTAAAGATTGTTTTATCCTGCTACAGCTCTGGGGATCTCCTGTCCTGTCCTCCAGGACATAAAGCAAACTAAGAGTGTGCAGCTGTTACAGCAGCCTCATGTTGCTGACTTGTCATTCAGATCTAAAGGGGCATCTGCCTCAAAATCCAGCATCTGTGGGGACAGCATTCCATATGTCTCTATGGAGAGGGGAGTGGTGCATTAAAGCTATGAGACCCAGTTTGAAGTGTCTACCTATGGCATGGTCTTCAAAATGAGAAGCTAAACAAGGTGTATCTGACCTAAAATACCTTACTTCAAGAAACTGAGCCAGTTTACACTAGTAAACTATCAATTGTATTCTCTTCGATTGTCACTGCTGTGAATCATTTGGCCTTTAACTTCTTTCACCTGTAAAAAATCAATTTCAGCTCCTTACAAATGGCTAATGAAGTCAAATTGAGCTCAGCAAATTATTTGGGCCAGAAAGAATGAAAAACTTAGTTTCTTCAGTGCTTCAAACCAAAAAATACTGCTCTTTGAATGCTAGTCCTAGAGTACTGTCCTGCATGTCAGATCAATAAGCTGGGATGTCAAGACACCTTGATTCAAATGTGTCTCTAAATCAGTAATGTGGACATGGTCTCTGACTTTGAGGAAGTGTCTTAAATGTATGGTTGTAGGTTATTCTTGTTGATGTTTGAAGTGGTTTAGGTTTAGGTAAATTACTTAGTTACTATTTTCGGCTGATTAAGGCCCTGATCAAAGTGGAAGGAAACCTGGGCTCTGACTCCTGCTTGAATGCGTGTAAAATGTGAAACTTCAACCCTACCAGAGATTGAAAGAAATCAGAGGCAGCCTAGAACATAGCCCTGGACTATAGGAAATAAACTTTTAAGTTGTATCCAAGCAGGCAGCAAAGGAATTTGACCCTCAGTACTTGGGATATGAGTGTTTGAATAACTAGATGTATCATCTTTATAAGAAATAGAAGTTTCCTGTTTGGTTAATGAGTTGCATCTACATGTGATTAGGGAAGTATTTCCCTGTATTTCCTGTGATTTTTCTTGAGTAGCTGTGAAAATGTCATATTTTTTTCTAAGACTGATTCATCACAGAAGATTGTCAGCTTTCTTCAGTTTACAGGTAGGCTCTCAGAGGGTTGCTCAAGAACTCAAGATGCTGTCAGATCAAAATGTGATTAAATGTACATAGTCTGAAGTGTAACTCGTTTTTAAAAGAATGATGGCAATTGTAGCTTTAACTGGTTTTTAAAGAGGCTCCACAAACATTGTACTTATGTTAAAGCACATTGGGTGTGCTAGCCGCTGGCTTGCTCTCACAGCATGCTGATGTAAAGTCATGAAATGGCAATGGAAACTCCACAGCAGAATGACATAAACTTTATATGTGCTATGTAGAAAGACAAGGTTTGCTCATTAACTTGTTTTCTATGTTTATTGGCTAGTTGCTTTTACAACTGTCCTTATAACTATTTTCCTAATTACAAGTTTATTTTTAAAGTTATTTAAGGATTGGATGCTAGTGCACACCACTGGCTTAGCCAAGCTAACTGCTACTGTAGCTGGGACAGCTACGTTTCAACTATGTCTGGGTGAAAAACTTGTTTCTTATTCCCCAAATAAGCTTTTGCATATGATTAAAAAAAAAAAAAAATGCTTGCGCTCCTTCTTGGTGTTTTTCAGGCGAGACCCTGACCCGGGACTGGGATCTCCCCACCAGCTGAGCAGCCGGGGTGGGGCGGGGGCCCTGAGCTGGGGCAGCCCGCGCATGCGCACCTGTGGCTCCCAAGGGGCGTGGCCGAAGGCCCACA